ATATCATTTTATAAACCAAGTTTAGAAAAATTTTACTACATAAATCAACAAGTCTATACCCATGGACAGTGTATTTCCACCAGGTCATTTCCTCAAAATAAGCCGCTGTTTTTGTTCCCTTCTCTATGTCAAAAATACCAACTTAGTTTCTCAGGTGTGGACAATCCCAGATAATACAATGGACCCAAACAAAAAAAGTTTAGTCTCAAAGCAAATAAACAAAGCTGGTAGAAAAGATAAATATGAGGGGCTTTTTTCTAATTCATTCTAAAACCCAGTCTTACATTAACCAGTCCCTTCCCCTGAAGTCACCCAGCAACTAGAGAGGAGAACCTGGATGTGAAGTCTGAGGAGGACAGGGAATCCAGAGAAGAGGTAGAGGTCTGGAAGTTAACGGGGAAGTGCCTAACTGGCCCCTCTTCTCTTAAACTGGATCAACCAATGTATATGCGGTGGAAATCATTGGCACCAAAAGCAGCATTACATTTGGGACATTTACGCTGACGGGTGTCATAGCGTGTCTTCACACATTCAAAACAAAAAACATGAAAACACTTGGTAAGCACAGCATCCTTTTTACGCATGTTGCAGCATGGACAGGTCAAACGTGCCTAAAAAAGAAAGAAGAGTCTGAGCAACCACAAAAACCAAGCAGCTATCTTACACATTGGTGACCTGGTTTGTGAACTTAATGCATCCCATGATTCTGTAAAAGCCACATTCCTGTTTTGTGGGAAAGATGGCCACAGTTGTGTTTCTCACCTGATGCGGAGTTTGCAAACAGGAACAAATTTTGCCAAATGCTTCTGTTTGCGAACTAAATTGTTCACAAACAAAAGTGTGCATGAACTGAGATGCCACTAAATAATGAAAAAAACAACAAGAAAACAACACCAGAGCAAGAATACCACTTCCCTTCTTAAAACAAACCATTCTCCAGTAACTTTCGTGTAATGCAGTTCAGTGTTTATTTTCCCCGTACACTGCTGGTGTAGCACTTCAGGCCTGGACAGAAACCACAAAGAAATGACTGAGGCAGTTTTTCTAACCTTGTAATCCTTAATCTCCTCCATCAGAATCTCATCACATTTGGGTACATTGTCTGGCTTCTTTGTAGTTTCCAGCTTCCTTCGAAGTCTAGAGATGTCCTC